AACTGTGCATGTGAGCAAAGGAAACGTTTGTTAAAAAGAAAAAAAAATAATCATATGTTATGAAATACCGGTCCTCCAATATAAAAAGTGGATGTTGGACCATTTGATCACATGAAGAAGAGAAACAGGTATACCAGTGGTTACCAACCAATTTTGGACTATGCCCTACTTTGGTATTTCTAAAATTCTGGTGCCCTCAGTAATATTTAATTCTTACATGCAGAGATATCGTTCTACAGAAGGATGCTGATAATGAACGGAAATGAAAATGCAAAGGAAAAGTTTGTTGAAATAAAATAAGCAAACCGGTCCTCCAATATGGAAATGTTTGACCATTTGATCACATGAAAAAGAAAATATAAAATAATCAATTTTGGACTAACTTTGGATTTTATGAAATATTTAATTCTTACATGCAGAAATATAAAAAAGGATGCTGATAATGAACGAGGCATGAACTGTGATGTTGGACCATTTTAAATCAAATAAAATAAAAAGAGAAATAAATGGGTGGATGTTGGACCATTTGTGAAGAAGAGAATTATATACCAACCAACCAATTTTGGACTATGCCCCTACTTTGGTATTTCTAAAATTCTGGTGCCCTCAGTAATATTTAATTCTTACATGCAGAGATATCGTTCTACAGAAGGATGCTGATAATGAACGAGGACATGAACTGTGCATGTGAGCAAAGGAAACGTTTGTTAAAAAGAAATAAAATAATCATATGTTATGAAATACCGGTCCTCCAATATGGCAGTGGATGTTGGACCATTTGATCACATGAAGAAGAGAAACAGGTATACCAGTGGTTACCAACCAATTTAAACTATGCCCTACTTTGGTATTTCTAAAAGGATGCTGGTGCCCTGAGTAATATGAAATTCTTAAATGCAGAGATATCGTTCTACAGAAGGATGCTGATAATGAACGAGGACAAGAACTGTGCATTTGAGCAAATGGACTTTTTGGTTTGTCTAAAAAAAGAAATAAAATAATCATAAAAATGAAATACCGGTCCTCCAATATGGCAGTGAAATGTTGGACCATTTGATCACATGAATTTGATCAGTGAACGATGAACTGAAGAGAATACATATATACCAGTGGTTACCAACCAATTTTGGACTATAAAAAGAACTTTGGTATTTCTAAAATTCTGGTGCCCTCAGTAATATTTAATTCTTACATGCAGAGATATCGTTCTACAGAAGGATGCTGATAATGAACGAGGACATAAAACTGTGCATGTGAGCAAAGGAAAACCATTTTTGTGAAAAAAAAGAAATAAAATAATCATATGTTATGAATTTACCGGTCCTAAAAATATGGCAGTGGATGTTGAAGGATTTGATCACATGAAGAAAGAGAAAACAGAAATAAAATACCAGTGGTTGTCAACCAATTTTGGACTATGCCCAAAAGAAAAAATTTCTAAAATTCTGGTGCCCTCAGTAATATTTAATTCTGCCCTCAGTAATGCAGAGATATCGTTCTACAGAAGGATGCTGATAATGAACGAGGACATGAACTGTGCATGTGAGCAAAAGGAAACGTTTGTTAAAAAGAAATAAAATAATCATATGTTATGAAATACCGGTCCTCCAATATGGCAGTGGATGTTGGACCATTTGATCACATGAAGAAGAGAATACAGGTATACCAGTGGTTATGAAACAAATTTTGGACTATGAAATACTTTGGTATTTCTAAAATTCTGGTGCCCTCAGTAATATTTAATTCTTACATGCAGAGATATCGTTCTACAGAAGGATGCTGATAATGAACGAGGACATGAACTGTGCATGTGAGCAAAGGAAACGTTTGTTAAAAAAGAAATAAAATAATCATATGTTATGAAATACCGGTCCTAAAATATGGCAGTGGATGTTGGACCATTTGATCACATGAAGAAGAGAATACAGGTATACCAGTGGTTACCAACCAATTTTGGACTATGCCCTACTTTGGTATTTCTAAAATTCTGGTGCCCTCAGTAATATTTAATTCTTACATGCAGAATATCGTTCTACAGAAGGATGCTGATAATGAACGAGGACATGAACTGTGCATGTGAGCAAAGGAAACGTAAAAAAAAAAAAAGAAATAAAATAATCATATGTTATGAAATACCGGTCCTCCAATATGGCAGTGGATGTTGGACCATTTGATCACATGAAGAAGAGAAATAAATATACCAGTGGTTACCAACCAATTTTGGACTATGATGAACTTTGGTATTTCTAAAATTCTGGTGCCCTCAGTAATATTTAATTCTTACATGCAGAGATATCGTTCTACAGAAGGATGCTGATAATGAACGAGGACATGAACTGTGCATGTGAGCAAAAAATGTTTGTTAAAAAAAATAAAATAATCATATGTTATGAAATACCGGTCCTCCAATATGGCAGTGGATGTTGGACCATTTGATCACATGAAGAAGAGAATACATATATACCAGTGGTTACCAAACCAATTTTGGACTATGCCCCTAACTTTGGTATTTCTAAAAACGATGGTGCCCCTCAGGAAATATTTAATTCTAAAATGCAGAGAATATCGTTCTACAGAAGGATGCTGATAATGAACGAGGACATGAACTGTGCATGATGAGCAAAGGAAACGTTTGTTAAAAAGAAATAAAATAATCATATGAACGAGGATGAAATACCGGTCCTAAAAAGAAATATGGCAGTGGATGTTGGACCATTTGATCACATGAAGAAGAGAATACAGGTATACCAGTGGTTACCAACCAATTTTGGACTATGCCCCTACTTTGGTATTTCTAAAATTCTGGTGCCCTCAGTAATATTTAATTTTACATGCAGAGATATCGTTCTACAGAAGGATGCTGATAATGAACGAGGACATAAAAATGTGAGCAAAGGAAACGTTTGTTAAAAGAAATAAAATAATCATATGTTATGAAGGTCCTCCAATATGGCAGTGGATGTTGGACCATTTGATCACATGAAGAAAGAATAAATAAAGTGGTTACCAACCAATTTTCGACTTTGGTATTTCTAAAAATTCTGGTGCCCTGAAATACATGCAGAGAAATAAAAAGAAATAAAACGAGGACATGAACTGTGCATGTGAGCAAAGGAAACGTTTGTTAAAAAGAAATAAAATAATTTGAAATACCGGTCCTCCAAATGGCAGTGGATGTTGGACCATTTGATCAATGAAAGAGAATACAGGTATACCAGTGGTTACCAACCAATTTTGGACTATGATGACTTTGGTATTTCTAAAATTCTGGTGCCCTCAGTAATATTTAATTCTTACATGCAGAGATATCGTTCTACAGAAGGATGCTGATAATGAACGAGGACATGAACTGTGCATGTGAGCAAAGGAAACGTTTGTTAAAAGAAATAAAATAATCATATGTTATGAAATACCGGTCCTCCAATATGGCAGTGGATTGGACCATTTGAATCAGCAATGAAAAAAAAAAGAAATAAAATAATCATATATGAAATACCAGTGATGTTACCCATGAAAAGAAAACCAAATATTTTGGACTATTTGAACGATGACTTTGGTATTTCTAAAATTCTGGTGCCCTCAGTAATATTTAATTCTTACATGCAGATGATATCGTTCTACAGAAGGATGCTGATAATGAACGAGGACATGAACTGTGATGAGCAAAGGAAACGTTTGTTAAAAAGAAATAAAATAATCATATGTTATGAAATACCGGTCCTCCAATATGGCAGTGGATGTTGGACCATTTGATCACATGAAGAAGAGAATACAGGTATACCAGTGGTTACCAACCAATTTTGGACCATGAAATACTTTGGTATTTCTAAAATTCTGGTGCCCTCAGTAATATTTAATTTTACATGCAGAGATATCGTTCTACAGAAGGATGCTGATAATGAAAGGACATGAACTGTGCATGTGAGCAAAGGAAACGTTTGTTAAAAAGAAATAAAATAATCATATGTTATATGAAATACCGGTCCTCCAATATGGCAGTGAATGTTGGACCATTTGAAACATGAAGAAGAGAATAAAGAAATACCAGTGGTTACCAACCAATTTTGACCATATGCCCTACTTTGGTATGAAAAAAAATTCTGGTGGATCAGTAATATTTGAAATTCTTATGTGGCAAAATGTTAAGAGAAATCGTTCTACAGAAGGATGCTGATAATGAACGAGGACATGAACTGTGCATGTGAGCAAAAGGAAACGTTTGTTAAAAAAGAAAAAAAATAAATATGTGAATGAAATAGACTGGTCCTCCAATATGGAAGTGAATCATATTGGACCATTTGATCACATGAAGAAGAAAATACATATATACCAGTGGTTACCAACCAATTTTGGACCATGCCCCTTTGGTATTTCTAAAATTTGGTATTTCTAAAATTCTGGTGCCCTCAGTAAAATTTAATTGTTTAAATGCAGAATATCGTTCCATTTGTGAAGGATGATGATAATGAAAAAGGACATGAACTGTGCATGTGAGCAAAGGAAAAAAAAAAGAAATAAAATAATCATAAAGAAATGAAAAAACCGGTCCTCCAATAAAAAGAATGAAAAGTGAATGTTGGACCATTTGATCAAAAAAAAGAAGAGAATAGAAATGAACCAGTGGTTAGCCGTTTGTTAAAAGAAATAAAATAACCAATTTTGGAAATAAATGGACCATTTGATCAAATTTGGTATTTCTAAAAAATGAAAAAGTAATATTTAATTCTTACATGCAGAGATATCGTTCTACAGAAGGATGCTGATAATGAACGAGGACATGAACTGTGCATGTGAGCAAAGGAAACGTTTGTTAAAAAGAAATAAAATAATCATATGTTATGAAATACCGGTCCTCAATATGAAAAAGTGAATGTTGGACCATTTGATCACATGAATGAAAAGAATAAATATACCAGTGGTTACCAACCAATTTTGGACTATGCCCCTACTTTGGTAAAAATAAAATTCTGGTGCCCTCAGTAAATTGATGATTCGTTTACTGAAAAAAAAAGAAAATGAAAAGGGAATCGTTCTAAAAAGAAGGATGCTGATAATGAACAAAAAGAAAAAGACATGAAAATTTTGGAAACTTTGGTAAAAAGGAAATATTTAAAAAGAAATAAAAAGGATGCTGATAAAACGATGAAATTGCATGTGAGCAAATGAAAAAGAAATAAATAGGGATAATGTTATGAAATGAAATTTGATCACATGAAGAAATAAAAAGAAACCAAAAACTTTGGTATTTCTAAAATTCTGGTGCCCTCAGTAAATTTAATGATGCAGAATATCGTTCTACAGAAGGAAATGAAAAGAAATAAAACTGGCATGTGAGCAAAGGAAACGTTTGTTAAAAATGTTATGAAAAGAAAAAAGTGAATGTTGGACCATTTGATCACATGAAGAAAAATACAAATACCAGTGGTTACCAACCAATTTTGGACCAACTTTGGTAGAAAAATTCTGGTGCCCTCAGTAGAATTTAATTCTTACATGCAGAGATGTCGAACAGAAGGATGCTGATAATGAACGAAAGGACAAAAAAAAATAAATGTGATGTGTGAATGAGAATGAAATTTCAAAAAAAAAAAAAGAAACCTGCCAGAAATTGTATAGTGAATGAAAGAAATAAAAAAGAGAAAGTCACCTAAAAAACAAAAAGTGAATGAAAAGAAATAAAAGAGAGAAATTTGTATAAAGCCAGAAAAAAAAATAATGAAAGAAAGAAATAAAAGAGAGAAAGAAACCTGCCAGAAATTGTATAGTGAATGAAAAAAAATAAAAGAGAGAAAAGAGAAATTGAAAGTGAATGAAAGAAAAAAAGAAAAGTGAATGCCAGAAATTGTATAATGAATGAAAGAAATAAAAGAGAAAGTCACCTGCCAGAAATTGTAAGTGAATGAAAGAAAAAAAGAGAGAAAAAATGCCAGAAAAAAAAAGTGAATGAAAGAAATAAAAAAAATGTCACCTGCCAGAAAAGTGATGAAAAAAATAAAAGAGAAAATGAAAAAGTAATGAATGAAAGAATAAAAGAGAGAAACAAAAACAAAAATTGTATAGTGAATGAAAGAAATAAAAGAGAAAAGAAACCTACCAAAAAAAAAAAATGAAAAGAAATAAAAGAGAGAAAGTCAACCCCAAAAATTGTATAGTGAATGAAAAGAAATAAAAGAGAAAAAAAACCTGCCAGAAATTAAATAGTGAATGAAAAGAAATAAAAAAGAGAAAGAACGATGAAGAAAAAATAGTGAATGAAAGAAATAAAAAAAGAAAAAAAATGAAGAAATAAAAGTGAATGAAAAAGAAATAAAAGAGAAAAAGTCAAAGAAAAAAGTGAATGAAAGAAAGAAAAAAGAGAGAAAAACCTGCCAGAAAAAAAAGTGAATGAAAGAAATAAAAAAAGAGAAAAGAAAGCCAAAAATTGTATAGTGAATGAAAGAAATGAAAAAAAAAAAAAGTGAAAAAGAAATAAAAAGAAAGTGGCCTGAAAGAAAATGAAAATAGTGAATGAAAGAAATAAAAGAGAGAAAAACCTGCCAGAATTTGTATAGTGAATGAAAGAAATAAAAGAGAGAAAACCTAACAAAAAAATAGTGAATGAAAGTGAAAAGAGAGAAAGATGAAAAAAGTGAATGAAAAGAAAAAAAAAAGAAAAAAAGAAATTGTATAGTGAATAAAAGAAATAAAAGAGAAAAGTCACCTGCCAAAACAAAAGTGAATGAAAGAAATAAAAAGAGAAAGGGCCTAACAGAAAAAATGAATGAAATAAAGAGAGAAAGTCACTTGCCAGAATTTAAAAAAAAAAGTGAATGAAAGAAATAAAAGAGAGAAAAAAAATGCCAGAAATTGTAAAATGAAATGAAAGAAAAAATAAAAGAGAGAAAGAACCTGCCAGAAAAAAATAGTGAATGAAAGAAATAAAAAGAGAAAAGGAAAATGAAAGAAATAAAAAAAAAAGTGAAAGAAAGAAATAAAAAAGAAATAAAAAGAGAAAGTCCAAAAAAAAATAGTGAATGAAAGAAATAAAAAGAGAAAGTCAAAAACAGAAAAAATAGTGAATGAAAGAAATAAAAAGAGAAAAAAAAAAAAATAGTGAATGAAAGAAATAAAAAAAAGAGAAAAGGAAACAAAAGAATATAGTGAATGAAAGAATGAAAAAGAGAAAGTCAAAACAGAAATTGTATAGTGAATGAAAGAAAAAAAAGAGAGAAAGAAAGAAATTGTATAGTGAATGAAAGAAAAAAAGAAGAAAAACCTGCCAAAAATAGTGAATGAAAGAAATAAAAGAGAGAAGAAATAAAAGAAATTTGTAAGTGAATGAAAGAAATAAAAGAGAGAAAGTGAAAAAACAAAAAAAAATAGTGAATGAAAAAGAAATAAAGAGAGAAAGTCAAAGAAAAAAAAGTGAATGAAAGAAATAAAAGAGAGAAAAGTGGCCTGCCAGAAATTGTAAAAATGAAAAAAAAAAAAAAGAGAAAACCTTGCCAGAAATTGTATAGTGAATGAAAGAAATAAAAGAGAGAAAGTAACGAAAACAGAAAATAGTGAATGAAAGAAATAAAAGAGAGAAAGTCACCTAAAAAGAATTTGTATAGTGAATGAAAGAAATAAAAAGAGAAAAAGAAATTGTATAGTGAATGAAAGAAATAAAAAGAGAAAAAAAACAAAAATTGTATAGTGAATGAAAGAAATAAAAAGAGAAAGTCACCTGCCAGAAAATAGTGAATGAAAGAATAAAAGAGAGGTGTGGCCTGCCAGAAATTGTAAAGTGAATGAAAAGAAAAAAAAAGAAATCACCTGCCAGAAATTGAATAAAGTGAATGAAAGAAAAAAAAGTGAAAAGAAAAAAAAAACTAAAAAAATAAAATATTGAATGAAAGAAAAAAAAAGAGAAAGTCACTTGCCAGAATTTATAAGTGAATGAAAGAAATAAAAAGAGAAAAGTCAAAAAAAAAAAATAATAGTGAATGAAAGAAATAAAAGAGAGAAAGTCACCTTGCCAGAAATTGTAAGAATGAATGAAAGAAATAAAAGAAAGAAATGACCTAAAAAAATTTAAAGTGAATGAAAGAAATAAAAGAGAGAAAGGAAACCTAAAAAAATTGTATAGTGAATGAAAGAAATAAAAAAGAATCACTTGCCAGAAATTTGTATAGTGAATGAAAAAAAAAAAGAGAGAAATGTCACTTGCCAGAATTTATATAGTGAATGAAAGAAAAAAAGAGAAAGGAACCTAAAAAAATTGTATAGTGAATGAAAGAAATAAAAGAGAAAAAAAAAGTGAAAAAAGAAATAAAAGAGAAATCACTTCCCAAAGAAATAAATGAAAAAATAAAAGAAATCACTTGCCAGAATTTGTATAGTGAATGAAAGAAATAAAAAGAGAGAAACTTGCCAGAAACCGACAGAATGAAAAAAAAAGTGAATGCCAAAAAGAAATGAAAAAATAAAGAGAGAACGAAAATTGGCCAGAATTTGTATAGTGAATGAAAGAAATAAAAGAGAAAGTCACTTGCCAAAATTTATATAGTGAATGAAAGAAATAAAAGAGAGAAAGGATGTATAGTGAATGAAAAAGAAATAAAAGAGAAAATGAAAGAAATTATATAGTGAATGAAAGAAATAAAAGAGAGAAATGATTGCCAGAATTTATATGAGTGAATGAAAAAGAAATAAAAAGAGAAAGTCACTTGCCAGAAATTTATAGTGAATGAAATAAAAAGAAATAAAAGAGAAAATGAAAAAATAAAAGAAAATTTATATAGTGAATGAAAGAAATAAAAAGAGAAAATGAAATGAACAGAAGGAAATATGAATGAATGAAAAAAAAAAAGAGAGAAAAAAACAGAAATATAGTGAATGAAAGAAATAAAAGAGAGAAAGTCATTTGCCAAAAATTGTAAGTGAATGAAAGAAATAAAAAGAGAAAAAAATTTATAAAGAATGAAAGAAATAAAAAGAAAAGTCACTTGCCAAAATTTATATAGTGAATGAAAGAAATAAAAGAGAGAAAGAAATTGCCAGAAATTGTATAGTGAATGAAAGAAAAAAAAAAGAGAAAAAAAACCTAACAAGAAATTTGTATAGTGAATGAAAGAAATAAAAAAAAAAAGAATTTATAGTGAATGAAAAATAAAAGAGAAAACCTGACAGAAATAGTGAATGAAAGAAAAAAGTGAATGAATGAAGAAAAAGTGAATGAAAGAAGAAATTTTGCCAGAAAATAGTGAATGAAAGAAATAAAAGAGAGAAAGTCACTTGCCAGAATTTATATAGTGAATGAAAGAAATAAAAGAGAGAAAGTCACCTGCCAGAATTTATATAGTGAATGAAAAGAAATAAAAGAGAGAAAATCGCCTAAACAAAATTGTATAGTGAATGAAAGAAATGAAAATGCCAGAAATAGAAAATGAAAGAAAAAAAGAGAAAGTCACTTGAAAGAATTTATATAGTGAATGAAAGAAAAAAAAGAAAAGCTTAACAAAAAAATGAGAAAAGTCAAGAATTTATAAAGTGAATGAAAATGAAAAAAAAAAAAGAAAGAAATAAAAAGAGAAAAAAAAAAAAATTGTATAGTGAATGAAAGAAATAAAAGAGAGAAAGAAAAATTGCCAGAATTTATAAAGTGAATGAAAAAATAAAAAGAGAAAAACTTGCCAGAATTTATAAAGTGAATGAAAGAAAAAAAAGAAATAAAAGAGAAAAAAAACCCAAAATTTATATAAGTGAATGAAAGAAATAAAAAGAGAGAAAGTCACTTGCCAGAATTTATATAGTGAATGAAAGAAATAAAAGAGAGAAAATCAAAAAAAGTGAATGAAAGAAATAAAAGAGAGAAAGTCACTTGCCAAATTTATATAGTGAAGAAAAAAGAAATAAAAAGAGAAAGTCACTTGACAGAATTTATATAGTGAATGAAAGAAATAAAAGAAAAAATCAAAATTGATAACAGAAAAAGAAATATAGTGAATCAAAAGAAAAAAAGAGAGAAAGAAAGAAACCCAAAAATTGTATAGTGAATGAAAGAAATAAAAGAGAAAAAAGAAATCCCAAAAATTTATATAGTGAATGAAAGAAATAAAAAAGAGATAAACCTGACAGAATTTATATAGTGAATGAAAGAAATAAAAGAAAGAAAGAAAGTGACAGAATTTATATAATTGAATGAAAAAAAAATAGAAAGTCACTTCCCAGAAATAGTGAATGAAAAAAAAGAGAGAAAGTCAATTGCCAGAATTTGTATAGTGAATGAAAGAAAAAAAAAGAGAAAGTCACTTGCCAGAATTTATATAGTGAATGAAAGAAATAAAAAGAGAAAAGTCACTTCCAAAAATATGTATAGTGAATGAAAGAAATAAAAAGAAAGTCACCTTGCCAGAAATATAGTGAATGAAAGAAATAAAAGAGAGAAAGTCACCTGACAGAATTTATATAGTGAATGAAAAAATAAAAATAAAAGCCAGAATTTGTATAGTGAATGAAAGAAATAAAAGAGAGAAAACTTGCCAGAATTTATATAGTGAATGAAAGAAATAAAAGAGAAAAGTCACCTTGCCAGAATTTATATAGTGAATGAAAGAAATAAAAGAGAGAAAGTCACTTGAAATTTATATAGTGAATGAAAGAAAAAAAGAGAGAAAGTCACTTGCCAGAATTTATATAGTGAATGAAAGAAATAAAAAAGAAAAAGTCACCTGCCAAAAATTGAATGAAAATAGTGAATGAAAGAAATAAAAAGAGAAAAAACTTGCCAGAATTTATATAGTAAAAATGAAAAGAAATAAAAGAGAGAAAGTCACTTGCCAGAATTTAGTGAATAGTGAAATAAAAGAAATAAAAGAAAGAAATTTCATATAGTGCCAAGAAAGAAATAAAGTGAATGAAAGAAATAAAAGAGAAAAAGAGAAAACAAAAAATTGTATAGTGAAAGGTGAAAAAGAAACAAAAAAAAAGAAATATAAGTGAATGAGAAATACAAAAGAGTGAATGAAAAAATCAAAAGAGAGAAAAAAATGACAGAAAAAATATAGTGAATGAAAGAAATAAAAGAGAGAAAGTCACCTGACAAAATTGGAGAATTTAAATAAAAGAGAAATCCAAATTTATATAAATGAAAAAATAAAGAGAAAAAGTCATACAGAATTTGAAGTGAAAAAAAAAAAGAGAGAAAACTACAGAAATAAATATATTTTGTGAATTTATATAAAAGAAAGAAATAAAGAGAGAAATTCCCCTCTTAAATAATAGTGAATGAAAAAATAAAGAGAAAAGAAAAATATAGCAATGAAGAAGGAAAGAGAGAAAAAAGACTTAGTGAAATTGTAAAAGAGAGAAAGTCACTTCCCAAAAGATGTATAGTGAGAAAAGAATAAAATTACAAAATGAGAAAGAATTTATATAATAATGAAAGAAATAAAATTCCTTGAGAATTTAATACACTGAAAATAAAAGAGAAAATAAATGAGAATGAAAGAACAAAAGAGAAAAATGCAAAATATAGAAATAAATAAAAGAGAGAAAGTCACCTGACAAAAGGTATAGGAATGAAAGAAATAAAGAGAGAAGCCAGCTCAAATTAAAATTGAAGAAAGAAATAAAAGAGAGCCAGTCTATAGAATACTGCGCAAAATTTATATAGTGAATGAAAGAAATAAAAGAGAAAGTCACTTGAAGAATATATATAGTGAATGAAAGAAATAAAAGAGAAAAGTCACTTCCCAAAATATGTATAGTGAATGAAAGAATAAAAGAGAAAGTCAAAAACCTGACAGAATTTATAGTGAATGAAAGAAATAAAAAGAGAAAGTCACCTAACAAAAATTGAATGAAAAGAATGAAAGAAATAAAGAGAGAAAGCCACCTGACAGAATTTAGAGAAATGAAAGAAATAAAAGAGAAAATGACAGAATTTAAAAAGAAAGAAATAAAGAGAAAAGTCAGAATTTATAGTGAATGAAAGAATAAAAAATATATATAGTGAATGAAAGAAAAAGAGAGAAAAAGACCTGAGAATTTATATAGTGAAATGACAAAATTGTATATAGTGAATGAAAGAAATAAAAGAGAGAAAGCCACGCACAGAATTTGTGTAGTGAAATGAAAAGAAATAAAAGAGAAAAATGTCACTGCCAGAATCTAGTGAATGAAAGAAATAAAAGAGAGAAAACTTTCCAACAAAATTGTATAGTAGAACGAAAGAAATAAAGAGATAAAGTCATTAGGTAGAATTTGTTGAGGAATGAAGAAATAAAAGGAGAAAATCACCTCAAAATATGAAATCCTTGTTAAAAAATAAAAGAGAGGGAATTTTCAACAGAATTAGTGAAATGAAATAAATAAATCTCACCTCAAGCCCACAGAAATCCTTGTTAAAAAATATTAAAGAAATAAAAAGAGAGACAAGATAATTTTGATAAATCACCTCAAAATATTGTAAGATAAAAAATGAAAGAAATAAAAGAGAAAATAATTCTGCTAAATCTACACAAATATCAAATGAATGAAATAAAAATTAGAAAACATTATAGTGAAATATATAATTTTTTAAATAGCATGAAAAATGAAATCATTAAAAAAAGCATTGAAGGAAGTGATATCACAGCAAAATAATTTGATAAATCACCTCAAATAAAAAGAGAGAAAAATTGGAAATCTTTAACGATAGCATCGAAATGAAAATCAAAAACAAATCTCATTGAAAATATCAAATTTAAATAGGAATGAAAGAAATGAAAAAGAGAGAAATCTCACAACATCGAAATTTGGAAATTTCCTTAAATATTGAAATGATTGAAATTTTGAGAAAATCACTTCAAGAATATTAAATCCTTGTTAAAAAAAATCAGAGAAAATTGATATCGTGAAATGAAAAATTTGATAAATCTCACCTCAAAATGAAATCCTTGTTAAAAAAGAGTAGGTGATTATAGAAATCATGATAAAATGAAAACATAAATCCTTGTTAAAAATGTAGGTAGAATTTCATTAAATACAAAAATAAATTTGAGAAAACTCATTAAACATGAAAAAAAAAATGTATTTTCGTGAAAGTGAAAGAAATAAACAGTGAAAGAATCAAATCCTTGGTAAAAATATTTAAACACGTGAATGAAATGAAAAAAAGGATAAACGGCACCTGAAAATAAGCGGAATCCTTAAAAATACGAATATTGAAATGGTTGAAAATATCAAATCCTTATTAAAAAAAAAGCCTCAAAAGACGGGTGAAATTGAAAATAATGCCTGACTGCGTTGAAAATATCAAATCCTTGTTAAAAAATCTTGAAAAGAAATTCCAAAACTAACTGTAAAATTGAAAATAATTTTTGTTAAATCACATTTTGAAATACATTTCCTTGTAAAAAATTATTGAAATGAATTTAAGTTAAATACAGAATTGAAATAATTTTGATAAAACCTAAAATATCAAATAAATGATAAAAAAATAATGGGAGTGATTTTCATTGAAATGGAAAAACTTAAACAAATTTTGATAAAATCTCACCAATGTCAACAATGAATATTGGGTGAATTTTACTGCCTGAAGGAAATCCTTAAACAAAACGTTACGAAAGAATTTTCCTTAAACACAGCGTTGAAAATAATTTTGAAAAATCTCATTGAAAATATGAAATCCTGTTAAAAATAATGCATGAACGTATCGTGAAACCATAACCATTTTTGATAAATCTCACTTTTCAAATATGAAATCGCATTAAAAAAAGGTACAGCATTGAAATAATTTTTGATAAAATCTCACCTTAAAAATTTTCGTGCATTGAAATGAAAAAATTTTGATAAATCCTGCCTGAAAATATCACAGCTTTGAAATATAAATTTTCATTGATATAAACAAATTTGGCATAAATGTAATCTTGTTAAAAATATCACTTATATTTTGTATTGCGACGGTAAATAATTGAAAATCTCACTAAAGAAATCCTTGTTAAAAAATATTAGGTAGAATTTTCGTGAAATAATTAAACACAACATTCGATAAATGTCAATTCTTGTTAAAAATATTAAACACAACATTGAAATAAATGGAAATCCTTGTTAAAAAATAGCATTGATGAAATAATAAATCTCCACTGAAATATCAAATCCTTGTCACAATTTTCGTAAACATGAATGTTTCATAAATCTCACCTTAAAATATGAAATCCTTAAACAAAAAATAAATATGGAAAACCTTAAACACAGCATCGAAAATTTGATAAATCTCCTTAAAATATCAAATCCTTGTTTAAAAATATTGGAAGAATTTAAACACATATGGTGAAATGAAAATAATTAAACAAATCTCCATTGTTAAAAAATATTAAATCATAATGAAAACAGCATTGAAATGTAAAAAATCCAAATTTTTAAATCGTGAATTGAAAATAATTTTGATAAACACAGCATCAAAAATATAGAAATCCTTGTAAAAAAACATTGAAATAGTGAAAATCCTTAAATAAACTCAAATCCTTGTTAAAAATATTAAAATTGAAATTTTAGACACAGAATGAAATAATTTTAAAATCCTTAAATACAACGCATTAAAAAATGTAGAATTTTCGTGATATCGTTTAAATACAACATCGAAATATCAAATCCTTGTTAAAAATATTGAAATTTTCGTATTAAATCGTGAAATGAAATGCATTAAAATAAATCTCACTGAAATATCAAATCCTTGTTAAAAAAAATTAGGAAATTTTGGAATAGTGAAATAAAAATAATTTTTGATAAATCTATGGGAAAATAAAAACTTTGTTAAAAAATTAAGAGAATTTCACTTGATAGAATTTGAAATGAAAATAATTTTGAGAAATCTCACCTGAAAATATGTAGAAATCCTTGTAAAAAAATAAAAGAGAGAAATTTTCGTGATATCGTGAAATGAAAATAATTTTGAAAATATTCTCAAAATTAATAGGAACAAAAAAAAAAGGAGAATTTTCGTGATATATTGAAATGAAAATAATTTTGATAAATCACCTTGAAAATATCAAACTTATTTAAAAAACATTAGGTAAATTTCATTGAAAGGAAATGAAAATAATTTTGACAAATCTCACCTTGAAAATTTGAAATCCTATTAGGTAAATTGAAATGTGAAATGAAAATCCTTGATAAATCTCACCTCAAAGTAAATCTTTGTGAAAGATTGGTGAATTTTCGAAAGTGAGAAATGAAAATAATTTATAACACGGAAATAAAATACAAATCCTTGTTAAAAAATATTAGTAGAATTTAAACATAGAATGGAAATGAAATAATTTTGATAATCTCTCAAAAAGCTTGTTAAAAACAGCTAGAAATCCTTTGTGAAAAAAGAAATTTTGAAAAGAGAGAATTCAAATTCAGATAGTATAGTGAAATGAAAAAATTTTGAGAAACTCACCTCAAAATATGAAATCCTTTGTTAAAAATTGAAAGAAATAAAGAGATATAGTGAAATGAAAATAATTTGATAAATCTCACCCTAAAATATGAAATCTTTAAAAAAATATTAGGTGAATTTAAAGAAATAAAATGAAAATAATTTTGATAAACTCACCTGAAAATATCAAATCCTTTGTTAAAAATAGAAGGTGAGAATTTCGTGATATATATAGTGAAGAATTTTGATAAAATCAAAATATCAAATCCTTGAAAGAATTTTAGTGAATTAAAATGAAAAATCAAATAGAATTTATCAAAAAAAATATTAGGTAGAATTTTCGTGATATAGTGAAATGAAAGAAATAATTTTGATAAATCAAATATCAAAATTGTTAAAATATTGAAATTTCCTTAAAAAAATAAAATAGAAATAGAAAAATTAAAAAATTTAAAAAGAGCATTGAAAATGAAAATAAAAGATAAACTCACCTCAAAATATGAAATCCTTGTTAAAAAATATTAAAGAGAGAAATTTTGACTGATACATTGAAATAGAAGTCAATTTTGATAAATCTCATTGAAAATATCAAAATTTGTTAAAAAAATTAGGTAGAATTTTTCATAAAGATCCTGAAATGAAAATATGTTAGATAATTGAAATGTAAAATCCTTGTTAAAAAATGGGTAGAAACACATCGTGAAATGAAAATAATTTTGAAACCTCAAAATATCAAAATCCTTAAAAATATTAGGTAGAATTTAAACACAACGCAGAATGAAATAAAATTTTGATAAATCTCACCCGAAAATATCAAATCCTTAAAAATATTAGGTAGAAATTCGTGATATAGTGAAAACGAAAATGAAATTTGAAAAACTTAACCTGAAAATATCAAAACTTGTTAAAAAATATTAGGTAAATTTTCATTGGATATCGAAATGAAAATAATTTTGATAAATCACCTGAAATATCAAATAGAGCATAAAAAATATTAGGTAAATTTTCATAAATATAGTGAAATGAAAATAATTTTGATAAATCTCACCTCAAAATATCAAATCCTTGTTAAAAAATAGCAGGTAGAATTTTATTGATATCGTAAACAAAATAATTTTGATAAATCTCAATGAAAATATGAAATTGTTAAAAATATTAGGTAGAATTTTTGAAATCGTGAAATGAAAATAGTTTTGATAAATCTCACCTCAAAATATGAAACTTGTTAAAAATATTAGGTAGAATTTTAAATTGATAGTGAATAAAAATAATTTTGATAATACTCAAAATGAAATCCTTGTTAAAAAAATATTAGGTAGATTTTTTAAATATAAGAAAATGAAAATAATTTTGATAAATCTCAGCTGAAAAATATGAAATCCTTGTTAAACAAAATAATAGGGTAGAATTTTCATTGATAGTGAAATGAAATAATTTTGATAAATCTCACCTGAAAATACAGAAATCCTTTTGTTAAAAAAATATTAGGTAGAATTTTCGTGATATAGTGAATGAAAAATAATTTATAAATCAACCTGAAAATATCAAATCCTTTTAAAAATATTAGGTAGAATTTGTTGATATAGTGAAATGAAAATAATTTGATAAATCTCACCTTCAAAATATGAAATCCTTGTTAAAAAACACGGTAGGAATTTTCGTGATATAGTGATGAAAATAATTTTGATAAATCTCCGGAAAATATCGTTAAAAAACATTAGGTAGAATTTTCATAAATAGTGAATTGAAAATAATTCCTACAATATCAAACATTGTTAAAAAATATAGGTAAATTTTTCCTAAAGAAAATAAATAAATCATTAAATAGAAATACTTAAACACATCGTG